TGCCGCTTTATCCTGGGGTCTGCGGGGGAGCAGGCAACAGTGGAACTGAGAAAGCTTAAGCAACGGAATCCGTCGATAGAGCGCTACACTCACAAATATCAGTCATTGGTGAACCGAAGCCTTGTAGTGGATCCGGATGTGCTCTATAGTTGGTTTGTAGCAGGGCTGTCCTCCGGTGAGAGGCAATCAGTAACCGGTTGGGCTACGGAGAGGGAAGTGAAGGGTGAGAGAGTGGAACTCGCTGACATGATGGAGTGCCTTCGCAGAAATGAAAGAAAAAGTGGCACTTCCACAGCCTTAGCGGAAAGGGAAGAAAACATATATGGGAATTGTCAAGATTTGGCGCCTATAGATATTAGGGCTGTGAACACCAGAGCAGGCAAAAGGCCGGCTAGAAGCAGTAGCCGATAGCAGACAATGAACTCCCAGAAAGCCCAGAAAGCAAGATAATACCGAACGGCGCACTTGCTTCTTTTGCAATAAACAATGTCACTTATTTTGTGCTGGCCGGCTTATGAAAACGGCTAGGGAACAATTGAAACCAAATCCCAAATCTTGTACACGCGGATGAACGTTCAGAAGTTCCTCGGTCTCGCCTCATACAACCGCAATTTCATTATTGGATTCGCTCTCATTTCTAACCCTCTAACTGATACTCTTAAGAAGGGCGAGCAGTTCCTCTGGTGGGAGAATGAGGATGAAGCCGCCCGACGCCTCACTGGGCACCTGACCCGGTACTCGCGTTCCCTGATTTTGATAAGCGCTTTTTCCTCACGACCGAAGCCAGCGACACCATAGTCAGGGTAATGCTATCTCAGCATGCTAACAGCTCGAAAAAACATCGAATACTTGCTTGCTACTCACATCTTTTCACAGAGAGGAAGCAGCAGTATCCTGTACCGGAGGGGCTCTACGCAATCTGGTGGGGCGTAAAGAAGTGTCGAGATTACCTATATGGCAGGCGCTTTAAGCTCCAAACCGATCGTCAATCCCTAACACACCTGACAAAGAGGTTTCAAGACTACGGCAACGAAAGAGTGATGCAGTAGCTCTCCCGGCTCACGCAGTACGATTTCACTCTCAAGTATATCAAGGGTATCAGCAGTGTGGTCGCGGACGCATTCTCCATACGCCCTAGAGGTCAGGCGCACGCAGTGGTCCGCGACTGCACTCGTCTGTGATGACTCCCATTATAACGCTAAATTGCGTTCGTCTTATTCTTTAGATATTCATGCCACTGCTGCCCTAGATAAGCCCACAATGCGCGACGGGTCAATTACTACAGCACCGACGGCGACCCCCCAGCGGCACCAAACGAAGCGACGAGTTCGCCCATTCTACGTTACAGCTTCATTTCGACCGGAAATTTTGTGAAAAGTGCATGATCATGCTTTAGCAGGCCGTGATGGGGTCAATACAATATTTGATAGTGTTTCTACGTCCTTCTGGCGGCCAGGAATGCGCCCCTCAGTCGACGAATATGGCTTCTCTTTTGCCTGCAGCAGAAGCTGCACGACACCCTCAAACCTGGACTCCTGCAAGGCCTTCCAAGTCCCGACATGATCTGGATGAATATCTCAATGGATTTCGTAGCGGGCTTACCACCCGTAAGATGGCACGATAGCATCTATGTTGTGCTGGATCGGCTTAGCAAACACGCTCACCTTATTCCCTGCTCGAGCAGTCACAGCAGAAGTGGCTGAGCTATTCATTAATCATGTGTAGAAGCTCCACGGGTTCCGCAAAAACATCGTTACCGAGATGGATCCGAAGTTCGTTAGCGCGTTCTGGCGCAGCTTCATGCAACGGCTCAGCATTGAGCACGGCGTGACCACCTCCAACAATCCGGAGGCAGATGGTCAGACCGATCGAACTAATCGCACGCTAGTGCAGTATTTGCGAGTTCACACCCAACACAGCTCATCGCAGTGGGTTGATTTTCTTGGTTGTGCAGAATGGGCTTATAATACTACAGTGCACTAGTCAACTCGTTGCTCCCCGGCGTCCCTGGTCTACACAGAAACTCCACGAGCTGACTCGAAGCTGGATTTCGCTGTTGGAAGCCATCCGCAAATGACTGCAGCCTCTGACCTCCGCAGACAGCTCGCAGCAGCGCGGGAATGCATGAGAAAGGCAGAGAAATACTACGAGAAAAGACCTTCAGCAGTTGCTTTCAACCGGGTCGAGTTAGTTTTCGTGGATTTGCACTCCCTCCGTAGCGCGCAAGAGGGCGAGCAGCCCCAAAGGTTTGCAACACGATGGGTTCAGCCGTTTTTCCCCGCTCTTGGGTCAATGCGTCGGCCTACATCATTGAGTTATCCTCAACGTGGAGATGCCATCACACTATTAACATGGATTTCTTAAAACCGTTTCGGGAATTCCCGCGGTTCCCTAGCGCTCTGGTGGGGAAACAGCAGGGATGTCATCGGGATAAGCCACGTATGGAGGATACAGAGATTCTAGAGGCACGGGTTAACACTCTCAGATGCCATAGCGAACACGAATACTTTGCGAAACTGTCAGGCACCGGTGCACGTATGGGTTTTGGAAGATCGCTTACGGGTAGCGACCCACCCAGAACAGCTACGAGCTCTACTTGACCCTACAACACCTACAGGCAGTGTGCGCATGCAAAGTGTGTGAGGACGTGTACAGCGGACGGCCGGTTAGCAACGGATATCTTGTTAGGTGTCGGAAAATTTCCCTATTTTCATACTCAGGTTCCCCTGACAGCTAACTACCTTGCCTCACTATGTTTTCTTTCTCCCTTCTACACAGGTAGTTGGGGCGGGGACACACCAGAGAAGTTGTATGCTCATCTCCTTGCATAACCACCTCTCGGACTTTCGCCGGAACCCCAGTCGCCTGGGACAAGCAGCGGCGGGATGTGAGGATTGGCTCGTACAGCAAAGAGAAAGGAACCCGGAGCCACAAGTGCAAAACAGCAGCCTTACGAGGCCACACCATAGCGGAGGCGCCGGAAGCGGCGTCACCAAGGCTGGCCAAGCACTGAAGTCAGGGTCGGGCCGGCATCGCCGTCACTTGCTACGATGGAGATCGAATGACGGTATTGACTTATGGCAGTTTCTCGATTATTGACTGACCCCAGTGACGCAAAATTTCAATGCCATGAAGGGCGTGTGGTTGGCGCTAAATGCAGCTAATCCTGCGCCAACTTGCAGCCTCTTCCATCCCTTCCTGGCATATGCTGAGGTGTGTTTTCCGCGTTCGTCAGCTCCACTTTCGAGTACCATCGTTCTGCGGTGCTGTCTCCAACGGTTTCTACTGCGGCTCCCCCTAAAGTCCGAGAGGCGGTTCTGCCCTAGCAGATGCGCATACAACTTTTCTGGTGTGTCCCCGCCCCAACTACCACCGCACAACGACGGTACTCGAAAGGGGAGCTGACGAACGCGGAAAAGACACCTCAGCATATAAGTAGCCGGAAATCCCGACGGTACCGATCTTCCTTCCTCCCACGATTCGCAAAAGCGAGACGGACAGGAAACAAAACCCGAGCCCCGCGAGACGCTCACAATGTGTGAATGATCCGTCCGCAGGTTCACCTACGGAAACCGTGTTCCGACTTTTGCATCCTTTAGAGGCGTCTATTTACGCAACTTCCCGGCCAGCGCCAAAGAGGGGTTGGCCAGTCCGATGAATTCACAGGAATCTCCGAGCGGTTGCAGCGTCGGGCGGTGTGGAAAACGTCAAGTCCTCGTGCCCCTTGTGCTCTGGGCTGTTGAGTAAATTAATTTACTTTTATAATATTAATAATATATAATATTAGATACAGCATTAAAAACTGCCGATGTAGGATACTTAACAGGTAGATTAGTAGAATCGCATAACATTAAATCCTAATAAGTGCATTGGTAAGAATGTAAGTAAACTCTAAAAATACCATTCTATCCTCATATGTTAAGTACAGATGGTAAATGATTTAATTATTTAATCTTATTCCTATTAGCGTAATCATTCTACCGATCCTCCTTGAAACACGGATCAAGGAGCCTAACATATGTGCAAATATGCGGGTGGCAACCCTGTATGCACAGTGAGAGTGAGACTAGGAAGAGGTTTGCTTTTTGCATTTCTCGCACCTACGACCGACTACGTACTCTGTCAGAGGTTTGGGTAGTAGCATGTCCTTGCTTGCAGCCCTTAAGAGGTCCCGATCCTGCAGTTTCACTCTGACGGTTCGGTTATTTCTTGCTTACACTTTACTTTCCACGTGCTCTACGTCCTCACTGACTGCTCTAGCGACCCAGGGTGTTCCAACTGTGGCGAGCCACCGGCTGGGGTGGGTGAGCGCATCATGACTCCCCGCAACTGATGCGTATGCGGCAACTGGTACGCTGAATGCCCTCATGTATCGAAACGGCTCTATATTGAAGACACATGCGGTCACTTTTAACTACTTCATTATCGTATTATCATTCGGAGCGGCAACTGCCAGGTGAACAGTAGCAGCACCCGCAGCAGCAGCAGCACCCGGAGCTGCTGTTCTAGCAGCAGCAGCAACAGGAACAGCAGCTTAGTCACCGCAAAACACATCCAGCAGCAGAGGAGCACGCGCGATGCCCTTGTACCCGTACAGCAGCAGTGGTTGGGTGGCGTGAGGGAAGGGGTTTAGGGGACGGCAAGCAGCATCAGCAAAGGGAGCGGCAGCACGAGCAGCAGGAGACATGGCGCAGCCCTACGGAATTCAGCGTGGTTATCGGCCCACGGGCGTGTGCGCTTCTCGCCGACGGAGGGGCAGATGTAGCATGAGTTAGCGCAGGGGCCTTCACTTGGCCTTGGAACGTTGCGTGTTTGCGCGTGTAAACCTCCTATAAGTACATTCAGAACTAAAGAGTGCAGCAGAAAGCTGTGCTGATGCTTCCTTGTGTGCAACCGTGAGGCTGGCTTGTATTACAGGCTGCATCGAGGTGCTCTGCAACCCCACTTCAGGCTGCCTCCTATCCGCAACACCCAAGACCTGAGCTCAACGACCAGAAGGCATGGGAAGAGAGGAAGGAAGTCAGCTGCTTTGGGGAAACACTTGTTTTAAGTCTCTACCTATATTGCAGTTCTGTGCTTGATTAAGGCCAGAGAGTGTTA